GCTGAGGGACAGAATTACAGTGTGTGTTCACTGGATTGTGCTGTAGTTCAACAACACTCATCGGTCAGCTGATGAAACATCTTTCTGGGGGGAAAAACTCCATAAAACAGTTATAAAAGTTAAACAAATTAGGACATTTATACAGTGTGTGCCATTGTCAAGACTGTAAACCTGTCCCTCACAGCCTTGTGTTCATCTGCATTCAAATTAGTTTGGCGTCTAACCTAAATAATGTCTATGAGTGTTCAAGATACTGGATGAAAACCTCTTTAATGCACAGAAGGGGTGATACTGATACTGAGGGAACATCCAGTTACTGTGAGCATCACTATTAGGGTTGCAAAATTCATAGTTGGAAACTTTCAATGGGAATTAACTGGAATATATAGGAACTGGAAATTTGCTAAATTGCTGGTTAGCCAATTTTCAGTTGGTGAACATGGCGACGTTTTATGTGGGCGGAGCTTAGGTGGAGGCAGAACGATCCCTCTGGCCGCTTCACTTACGCTAGTTTGCAAGTTTTGTTAGCTTGTTTTTTAACAATGACGGGAGAAAATCAGATTTTATCTTAATGTGTAAGGTCACTCAGTGTCCAGGACCGCGATTGTTATTTTTAAAAGTAAATTTTAACGGACGGAACCAGATTGGCCGACCCGTACCCGTACATGCTCACTCAATGATGGACGATCTGACAGGATTAACGTTAGCGCTACCTCCGGTTGAGTGGCCTGACTTCTACACCTATCCGATAGAGAAACCGAGCGTAAAGAGAAACTGAGGGCATATAAATCTTTAGATGCCTATAACTATGTGCTGAATGGTCACGTACAAGACTTGTGTGTGCGATCCACAGTTCTGCCGAGCCAGTGCCGAGAAGACGACAATGTAAAGAGTGACATTACGGTGCAAGTTTAATGATGTGAATATTTTCTAGAAATAAAAATTCCAGATACAGCATATTCATTTTTCATCGATTCTTGCACCCAACAACACAACAAGATGACATTTAATAATAATAATAATAATAATTTAAGCTCCTATTATGTAGCCGAATCTGTGCTGGTTTGTAGTCTTCCCTTTGTTTTGCCTCCAGCTAGCGCCGTGACGTAACTGTGACGTCGGCTCGAAATTGGTCTATAACAGGAAACTTAATCGAGGAAACAGGAAACTAAATCTGGTTGTTTTAACCAAAATTATGTTGATTAAATGCAAATTCAGTTTGGTTGGAAATTAAAAATGAATTTCCTTTGCTTCTCATATTCTCCCTTTGAGTTTCCGACTTGGAATATTTCCAAAATTCCCCAGCTTAACTTCCCATGGAAAGTTTCTGGAAAATGTACCATAAAATGTTCTGCTCCTTTGCAACCCTAATCGCTTTGCACCACTAAAGATCATAGACGGGGTCCTCGCGGCTCCTTAAAAACGTTTTTTTCAACACATTTAAGGTCATAAAAAATCCCAAATATGATAAATGGTAAATTGGATGTCTTATTGATTATTTTAAGAGAACTGAATTAAGGAATTGCAATGATTTCATAACCCTCTGGTGCTGTACACGTGACCGTCAAAAATGAATAAACATTTTCAATGAAAGTGTATTTCAGTTTAGATAATGTTAGATAATGCAGTAGTTTTAATCCATTTATTCACTTTTTGAGCACAGACCTGAAAATAAAATGTCCACATTAAAGGTTTAGTTCACCCAAAAAATGAAAATGATGTCATTAATGATTCTCCCTCATGTCGTCCCAAGCCCGTAAGACCTTCATCTTCAGGACACAGTTTAAGATATTTTAGATTTAGTCCGAGAGCTTTCTGTCCCTCCATTGGAAATGTGTGTACGGTATACTGTCCTTGTCCAGAAAGGAAATAAACACATCATCAAAGTAGTCCATGTGACATCAGTGGGTTAGTTAGAGTGTGTTGAAGCATCGAAAATACATTTTGAACAGAACAACAGAACCGGAAGACAATACAATGCTGAATAAAGTCGTAGTTTTTGTTATTTTTGGACCAAAATGTATTTTCGATGCTTCAACACACTCTAACTAACCCACTGATGTCACATGGACTACTTTGATGATGTCTTTATTTCCTTTCTGGACAAGGACAGTATACCGTACACACATTTACAATGGAGGGACAGAAAGCTCTCGGACTAAATCTAAAATATCTTAAACTGTGTTCTGGAGATGAACGGAGGTCTTACGGGCTTGGAACGACATGAGGGAGAGTCATTAATGACATCATTTTCATTTTTGGGTGAACTAACCCTTTAAGTGTGTGCTCCAAAGCATTCAAGATTTATGACAGTTTGAATTTGGTCTCTTTTTTAAGACGACACTGGGCAGATTATTGCTGAAGAGAAAAATGTTTTAAAAAGTTATAGATTTTTACATTTATTATATAAAAAAATTCTATTTTTTATGAAATGTATATTTTCCAAAACACATTTTACCGTAAAACCGTGAGAAAATCAAAGCCATAAATCTAAACAAGCGGTGTTCCAAATTTGAGGATGATATCTCAAAAAATGAAGAATAGGAAGAATATGTTTGGCCGCAGTACCAAACGCTTCCACTAGAGGAAATTCATCTCTCGTTCATTTCTAATGCACGAAGAGACTCTTTTTTTTCAAGACCATTTAACCTTTAGAATCATGTTCATTATTGTTTGTGTGTGTATGTTCACACAGCAAGTGCCAAAACCTTTACCAAGTTTTGTACCATTCTGATGAAGAAAGAAACGATAAAAAACAAAGCGTAACATTTTTGTGGCGCTGCACGTTCAAAGTCAATACTGTGCATTTATGCCAAGCAATTGCTTATGATCTACTGTTGATGAATTATGAAAATGTTTACTTTTGGGTGTTTGTATTGTAACATGTTTTAGAATATTGTAAGAGTGCATATTTTATCTACGTATACAGACTTTTCAAAATAAAAGTCCCAGAGGATTTCAAGCTTGTTCAGAATTAAAAGTATTATGCATATTTTTCCTATGTTATTTGGTAATACAGTAAAATGATAAATTAAATATAGTAAAAATAATCTGTTTATTGTCTTTCAACAGAACATGAATCTCCATTAACCCCCCACAAAATTACCCCCGGGTCAAATTTGACACGATTCTATTAATATGAACAAATATCATTAAATCCCTCAAACATGTTTTGTACATATTTATTTTCGCAATGATTTGGGCATATATTCTAATTTTTAAACTCGACCGGATCAAAAAAGACGTAGAAGGTACACAGGGGTTAAATTTTTTTTTTTTTTTTTTTTAACAAACGTTTTGTTTTGCCGCATGATTTCTGCAGCCGCGTGTAAATGTGTGTATCCATGCATCAGTTTTAATGTGTTTCTGTCGTCCTCAGTGGGTTCTGGGCCGGCTGGAAGATGCCAGGGAGAGCCTGACGAAGTAACCAGAGTTGTGCCTTTACGCTGCTTTTGCAGTGTGCCATCTTACAATATACCCACAATGCAACAGTCATCCACTGAACACGGTAATGACTGTTAGACCCTGTGCTTGTGTTCGGTTTACATTACACTGTATTTTTCAGTCCTCACCAATCTGTCCAATCCCTAATTTGCAAAACTCATTTACATATTGTCGTTTACAATGTGCCTCGACACGCAGTTCAGCGACTCGAACCTCGTCTCTTAACAAAACTCACACTAAATGAAGGTGTCGTTTAATAAATGTATTGATAAAGACCAATACACTGTATGCATATTAATTGTCTTTACATGTGGCGTTTAAATAAAAATGACCAGGAATGTATGGAAATGGTAATCTCTTACTGTATGTACAGGAGAGCAGGGATGTTTTTAATGTGTGGCTTTGCATGAAATGTTATTTTGTTTCTCAGTGTCTATTTAATTGATTCTACAGCTTGTGTTAGTTCTCAACAGATGCAGCCAGTGCTGACACACCTGTACAACTGTAACATAACACAAATATGCAACCTGTAATATTTATAATGAATGTTGAATGATTTGACATTAAAGTCGACATGAAACGCTATTTATTGACCTTTGGGTGACCTGTAAATGATGTAAACCTATAGGCAAGTAGCTGTTCAGTCAGTTTCAGGATGCCTTTCTAAAATCTTGCCAATAGTTCATGCAAATATAATTACGGTTACAGCAATAAAATCAAACAGTGGTGAGGTGATGCGACACATCAAGTTTCCAGGTGGATCAAATAAATACGATTTCTGGGACAAAATGCACATCTTCATACTTTCATCCTATATTTGTATCATGCATATTTAGTTTCAAGTGGAAATGCATGAGGTTAGGAAAGTAAAACTGAGAATTGTGAATGCCATATCATGACATTTTATTTTCTTGTCATTTTTAATTGATTATGCACATTTAATAAATGCGTTTTGAATTTTGACTTTTTAATTGGAATTATTTGAGTAACAACATATGGCTGTATATCCTTGTTTAATAAATATTATCAAAGCAGATAAAGACATTACAGTTTAAAGGCACTTCAGGTATTCATTACAGCTTGAACCTGCTTTCATCCGCTATAAAGAATTCAACTATGGCTGTGTGTTATGGAATATGCATGTTAAGGATGAGAAATATCATTAACACATGTAAAATCTGACACCAAATAAATGTCAGTATCAGCTTGTAAATTATTTTTGACAAATAATACAATAAAACAATATTGTTTAATTTCTACAAATGACCAATCATGATTCAGGCTTGTGTTAAAATCACTACATAAGGCAACTTCAGAGCATGTACAAATCTAACGTAAACTTTTCCCTCTACTGTGGCTTTAAAAGCTCTCATACAAGTAGTTGATCTATTTTACATCCTTTGTAAACTCTACTTGCACGTAGAACACGACGGCAGCATCTGCTGTCGATGTAACCTATCCCTCTGTTACACGACCTAAGGGAGGCTGACTCTTGTAATGGTGCATTAAGGCTTGTTTTCAGGATCCACATCTACTCCATTAGACGGTTCTCCTTCTCTACGTCCTCAGAACAATGTTAAGATAAAGTGAGCGCTAACTCTACTGGTGTTAAACCAGGTTGAACTCTTTGAGATTGTGTCTCAGGATGGTGTCTTTGACCGCGGCGAAGATCAGCCGGATGTTCTCCGTGTCCGTGGCGCAGGTGAAGTGAGAGTAGATGGTTTTGTCTTTGTCTTCGTTCTCATCCTGGTACATCTTGAGGATAAATTCCTGGGCTGACTTTGGATCATTTTTGGGGCCTGAAAAACAAAAGATATCTGTGGGTCAATGATGTCATGCTTGCTTTTTGGTCATATCCATTTATTAAAAAATTCATTGAAAATGCAATGACTTGAATACAACGTTTCTGTGATGAGCATGTTTTTATTTCTGAATTAAAATTGATTTTTATATTTTTTGGTGTCAAAGTTGAAAATGTCAGGGTGGTTAAAGGCCGGAAAATCTTCAAATTATATTATCATATTATATTTATTTATTATATTAAAATATATACAAATATTTTCAAAAGATAAAAAAGAAAAAAATACATTTTAAGAACTATACTGTATATAGAAATATCAATATATAAACTCTACACTGTCTTCCTGAAACTTCAAATTATATTAAATTAAATGTATTATATTAAAATATAGTAAAAACATTTTCAAAAGATAAAAAAGAAAAAATACATTTTAAGAACTATATATAGAATAATATATATAAAAACTCTTCGCTGAGTTCCTGAAACTTCAAATTATATTATATATTATATTAAAAACATTTTCAAAAAAGAAAAAAGATTTCATTTTTTTCTTTTTCGAAGAAAATGAAGAAACATTTTAAGAATATACATATATATAGTTTGAGGTTAGTCCAGGCTGTAAAATATTATGACAAATATATTTACTTCACGGTTACACCACTTAAAATATGGTATAAAAATGTTCAATGAAATCATCATGAGAAAAATAGCCTCTTTGTTTAAAACTAGATTTATGGACACCTTTATATGAAATTGATCCATACATTAATAATATTGCAGTTTATCTTTAACAAAATAGCCGTTTGGACAGGATTCATTATTCCTGCCGTAAGAGCAGTCACATGACGAGGCGCCTGGGCTGCGTCCCAAATCACACACTTCCCTACTATATAGCAGGCGAATAGAGTATGTGACAAAAGAAGTATACCTGAATTCACAGTACTCATAAAACAGCAGGTGAAAAGCACCCGGATGATACGGCTAATACTCCCGCTGAGATTCTGAAGTGTGTATATGATGGACACTTTACTATCCCATGAGCCCACAGGAGAGGGTTTATGAATGACAGTGAAGTGACGCTGGTAGATCACATGATAATGACAACAGATTACACTCATACTATATAGAACAAACTAAGTAAGTACTTAAAATAAGTATGAGATCTTGCCCTCGCCTCACATGTAAACTGCTATCAATGACTCACCTGTGAATTCTGGGAAATATGTGCCCAGGTGCGAGTGAACGATCTTCTCCTTCAGGATGTCTGTCTTATTAAGAAAGAGAATCACAGACGACTGCTGGAACCAGGGATAAGTGATGATGGTTTTAAACAAAGCTTTACTCTCCTCCATGCGATTCTGGGACACAGAAAACATGAGGTGAGCATGAAGCCGGAGAGAACCGAGAGAACCGGGAGAACGTGAACCTCACCTCGTTGTCACATTCAGCGAGGACCTGATCGTACTCGCTCAGCGCCACCAGGAAGATGATGGAGGTGACGTTCTCGAAGCAGTGAATCCACTTCCTGCGCTCTGACCTCTGACCCCCGACATCCACCATCCTGATGAGGTCAGCAGCAGCAATGAGCATCAGAGCAATCAAACATGCCACAGATAAAGCTGTCCCGTTATCACATAAATATGCAAACCAGAAGGCCGTGGGTTCCCTTTCATAGGTTTTATATAATAAATATTTGAAAACTTTCATCCGAAAATTTAAATAGCAATGGGTTCTATAAACACTATGTAAAAACAGCAGTATTTTCTTTGCAATAAGTGTAATGAGGAGTTAGATGCTATTTATACTTATAAATAGTGGCAGATACTGTTTGCACATCAGTGTTGTTGTTCAGGAAACGGTATGCAATAATAACATAGAGTGTATATGATTATATTCATTAAAATTATTATACTCTAACCGATAAACACTATTATTAAACACATGTGTATTGAAAATAAATGACTTTCCGGTCTGATATGTGACGGGAAAAGGAAGAAGAGTGAGTTTGGGCAAAGGCGGATTTGAACTCGGGTCTATTTTGCCCCAGGGCTCCCTTGTAAAAGAGATTTGAATATCTCAATGGGACATCACCTGGTAAAATAAAGGATAAATAAATTTTTTTTAAAATTATTTGTGTCCAAATGTTCTTCAACACGCCTCACTCCTACACTATTGCTGCTGCACACAATCTAGGCCACATTTACACATAGCCGGGTATTTAGAGAAACGGATATCGTTTCAGCCACGTCCAACCACAGCCACGTCCAAGTGATCTGAGGGCGCGGGCGCTTCGGTCTGTGCGTTACAAGAGGTAAAAACGATATAAATACTGTTCGTTTTCTCACACAAACCGCTCCTTTCGTGTCTTAGGCCATCAATGTGTACTTACATTTACGAGTCATTAAATCATGTTTAATTTGGACTTCTCTGTGCATGCTCTTTGAGGTGGAGACCATAGACCTGCATTACATGACTGACAGACAAGAACGGTTTGACCTAAAAATATCAATATTGAAACTACTGCGGAAACAAAGACACCTACATCTTGGATGCCCTTGAGGTAAGCTAAAACATACCAAAAATTTATTTCAAAGTGAACTATCCCTTTAATATGAACCTTTAAATTAAAATTAATTACAAAATATGTTTCTAACAATATGTACATAAGTTACTTGTCAGGTATTGTATTGCATTAGATGAATAGTTGCTGTTTAAACTGTTATGTTTCATTGAAATTAAAACAAAGCACAACTATTTTTACTTAAATAGTTCTATATTTGAACCGAATAACACATGATACTAAGAGAACACATATGTGAGTTGTTGATCACAAAAAAAAAAATTTTTAACCCACAACCTTATCTTAGAAAACGCCGTTTCTCTGAAAAAGTGTTTGACCTGTCCCGGCTCTCCCCCACAGCAGAATGAAGTGTCCCGTGTGTGCTGATGCATGATGTGGTATATTAGGACAGGTACCTGAAGATGACGTTCTCCAGGTCGAAGGGATACTCGATGATTCCTGTGGTGGGAACCCGGACTCTCAGAATATCCTGCTCTGTGGGAACATACGCCGCATCTGTAATCCGATCCAGGTCGCTCAGGTAGCTGTTGCGGGACGACAAAACAAATACTGTGGGCAAGTTGATGAAAGTGGCACACAGAGAGTTTACATCACAATACCACACACACACACACACACATTCTGGATGTTTAGAGAAATGCAGGTGATTCGATTAAACACACTTCTAATACTTGTGTAAAAGAAGTACACTAAATGTATTGAATGCACACTTCAATGTCTAGTGTACTTCACATCTTAAAAGTATATTTTTAAACAAACTGTACTTGCAGAAAATATAATATTGCTGAAATATAAGTGTACTTTTAGAGAGCACACTTTCACGACTATGTTTAACACACTTAAGTAGACTTAAAAAGTGCACGTTTTTCCTTAAAGTAATCATTATGTTTTAATAATGTTTTGCTTTGCTTTACAGAAGTACGCTTATTTTGATGTGTTGACTAACAAACTATAGCACTTAATTATAATTTTAACTGCATGACTAGTTATTTGATATTACATTGAAAGTTCATATATTTTAAATGCACTGAATTGTTAAACTGTACTTAAAATCTAACATCCTTTTTTACAAATGTGTAATTAATATATTTAAATACATGACACACAAGTTTCAATAGAAATGTCATTAAAGTGTATTTTAGTTGACCATAAATGCTTGCCAGTACATTTGGTAGTACACTAAACATTTAAAGTACTTAAGTGAACCTCCTAAGTTCAACTAATTGCATTTAATATATATTTTAACTGTAATACATTTTCAGAAATTTAAGTGTCAGAAAACATTACATTCAGTTCTATTTCCATAATAAGCATTATTTCTAAAATCTTCTTTTTCACAAGTTTCTGCAGAGCTCCTTGTAACATTTATGACCAAATAACAAACGTATGTCAAAAACACAGAGATTATAGTTTTAATTGGTTCACAATTACAAGACTGACTATTTGGCAGAGTCAGTCAGCTGGTACTCTCGGCGGCGGTCGTAGCATTCCTGAATCCCAGAGTCGTTCCATAGACTACGGATGGCGTTCACTTGGTTCTCATCCAAACTCATGATCTTATCCACCTCAATATCATTCGCCAATGTAGCATGAGCCTGTAGAGACAAGCACAGCCAATCAGGATTCACCACCGACTCCCAGGGGACCAATGAGAGTGTGCGGTCAAGAAACCCAATGCAGAAAACAGCCAATTAATGAGAGTTCAAGTGGAGCTGAGCATATGAACAGGAATATAAAAAGCATGATATTGAAGTTAAACAAAACTCCAATTCGTTATTAAATACGCAATGACCAAAATGAATTCCTGATGTTTTCTAAAGCCTCCTTCAAACAAGATAAATATATTGAGAAGCAAAATCGCATTAGATAATAAATAGAAAGATATATTTTGTCTTGTTTCATTAGCAGATTTTTAGGGGTCCTGGCAGCGAAGATTGTGAGCTTTATTTTTCAGATTTAAAAAAAGATTTGGCAGGATGGAGTCTGATCAGACCCACGTGCACAAATCCGTTCAACACTAGGTGGCGCAATAACAAGTACATTTATATTTTAGTGGTTATCCATGTTCAATTTTCTAGAAGAAAAAAGACAATTGTGTCATAATTTACTCAACCTCATGCAATTCCAAATTGCATTCTAAATCCTTGTTCCATGGAACACAAAATTTAAAAGTTTCAAACTGTTTTTGTCCAGACAATAAAAGTCAATGGGGTCCAAAACAAAACTTTTTTGTTTCACTGAAGAAAGTAAGTCATACAGTTTTAGAGAAACATAAGGGTAAGTAAATGATTACTGATAAATAAATGTTCATTGTTGGGTGAACAATCCCTTTAAAGTCCCCCTGTGGTGAAAATCCAGCTTTTAATGTTGTTTATATGTGTATGTGGTGTTTTTAATACGCTTTAAGACAAACCATGTGTAAATTCATAAGTCGACAGCATTGCTGAGTATTTTCTGCTTAAAACTGCAGTGAACCAAAGACAGTCTCAAAAACACGGTTTGAAATCGCTGGTGTTTCTGACGTCACAAACGACCTTGTAACCAATCAACCAGTCAACCAGTGGATCTCTGAGCTGAGTGAGTGAGTGGAGGCGGGGCTCATTTGCATATTCATAGAACCGCACATACTAAATGAGGCAAGGGTGTCGAGTTACATTCAAGATATTTTAAGAAATGAAGAATTTTAAATATGTAGTTTTGGTGATCAAAGATGAGTTTTAAGGGATACAATTGGGATAAAACACTTGGGATGTGTCGACATCAGCACGCCAAAAACTGATCAAGAAAGCTTCAAATTGGTCTGAATGTTCTCCACTCTTCAGATGTGTGTGTGTGTGTGTGTGTGATACCTGGTTCTCTGGTTTAGCATAAGCGATCTTGAGCATGTCCATCGCTCTGACCATGGACTGCATGGCGCTGATCACGTTCTGATGGACGAGTTTAATGAAGCCCTTCTTATCTTCATCAGTGTAACCCGAGCCATGAATGATCCTCATCTGTTTAATGAACGTACTCTTGCCACTCTCACCTGTGCCTACAAAAGAGAAAAGACAAAGAAATCCTTTTGTTTCTAAACTAATAATACAATTGTAACTACCATGGTAGAAATTTTGAAATTATTTCCAGTTATTCAGTATCAATAATGCCATACCAATTCCAGAATCCACAAATTATTTTAGACCATTATAATAATTAAACTTCAATGCATTCCTTCATAAATGAACAACTATAATGACTTTGCTTTGTGGCTTTGATTAATAACACAAATGGTTGGATTGAATCTGGCCGCTTCTCATTTGCATATTTTCCCTCAGAGATGAACAAAAGGTAAATCTGTTTAGTGTTTGGCTACTGTAGCGACAAGACTGAGATGATTATGTTCGACAGACTGAATGTGTGTCTTGCCAGAGTTGTGTTTATATTCTCCAGCTGCTGTGTCTTTGCTCACATCTGAAGATCGTTTCAAATAGTGTAATGTCCCAGTGAGGAGAGGGAAATATATGTGCAGCCCGGGTTATTATCGTTAACTAAAACTAAAACCATAAAAAAAAAAAAAAGTAAAATAAAATTACTAATTTTGTTTCAGATAGTTGCAAAGGCAGCATTTCTCATTTTTATTTAGTACTAAAATGACTAAAACCAAATAAACTGGATATATTTTTGAGAAACGGCAAAAACATACAACAACATTATTAAAACAAGCTTAAAGTGAAAACAGAATTTTTAAATATTGACAAAAACAAATAGTACATCAATGATAATGCATGATAAACTAATTCTAAACTCCCAACCAGTCAGACACAGCAACACTGGCTCAACCAATGGTGTGAGTTGGGGGCGTGGCCATTTGTTTTTCCAACCAATGGAAGATGGGGGTGTGTTCTGCAAGTCTGTTTGGTGAAATGACAGTCTAGATTTAAAAAGGACCAATTATGTCTTGATTTCGTTGATTTTATTGCAGCACCTCTTTTCCAAGGCTGCGTTTAAGTTGCCATCTTCCCTCTATCTCGTACTTTATTGCTTTCGAGTGCCCACTACTGGCGAAACCCTTGAAATGTGTTCACTAAGCCCTTGATCACTTGGGATCCGCTATGGAGCTGATTTATTATTTACAGTTTTTTTACCTTATTAATTTGTTTAACGCACCATTTTATAGGCCTGTATGTATGCTTGGGCTGTTGGAGAAAATATATAACAATTGCAATGAAAATGATAACTATAACTGTGTAAAACAGTCAGGTTGTGGTAGCTAGTACAAGTATTAAAGGATTAGTTCACTTTAAAAAAAACTTTTGCTGATAATTTACTCACCCCCATGTCATCCAAGATGTCCATGTCTTTCTTTCTTCAGTCGAAAAGAAATTAAGGTTTTTGATGAAAACATTCCAGGATTTTTCTCCATATAATGCACTTTGCTGGGCACCAAACGGTTCAAGGTCCAAAAGACAGTTTCAGTGCAAACAAAAATGCTCAAATGCTCACCTTGCTCTGTTCTGTGTGACTCTCCTGTTCGAACTCGTTCATCAAAATGAACGAATCTTTTTCCGAGTCAATTCGTTCATTTCGTTCGTTAAATGAACCAAATGACTCGAAAAAAGATTTGTTCATTTTGATGAACAAGTTCGAACAGGAGAGTCACGAACGTGCATCACAGAACAGAGCAAGGCGAGCATTTGACATTATTAAACTTAAACTTTGTTATTTATTTTTGAAATGAGCGATCGTTTCGCTTGATAAGACCCTTATTCATCGTCTGGAATCGTTTAAAGCCCTTTGAACAGTTTGCAGTTTGCACTGAAACGGTCTTTTGGACCTTGGACCGTTTGGTGCCCAGCAAAGTGCATTATATGGAGAAAAATCCTGGAATGTTTTCATCAAAAACCTTAATTTCTTTTCGACTGAAGAAAGAAAGACATGGACAACTTGGATGACATGGGGGTGAGTAAATTATCAGCAAAAGTTTTTTTTTAAAAGTGAACTAATCCTTTAAGCGGTTAAATGTCAAAATAACTCCAATATCATACACTAGAGTTGTGTGGGTGCGATCTGTTGTGACATCACAATCATGGTGCATTGTGGTCTATGGATCTAAGTGTACATATTGAGTAGACTCGCTCTCTCTGTCAAATCAGTCCAAATAAACATCCCTCGCCAACTTGACGAAGTTGGGAATCCCCCAAGGGGAAGTGCTTAGGAAAGTTCACTAGTGTATACGCTCTGTTTAGTTCCTGTCTCTATGAAGCCCCTCCTTCTGAAAAGCACACTGCGCTCTGATTGGTCGGCTGGAGCGGTGCGTTGTGATTGGTCGAGCGCTTCGAGTGTGTTTGGGAAATGTCCCGCCCCTTTACCATAACCACCAGTTTAACACACTACTAACTCACACAACCAGGCCCCGCCCCTTTATTCTGCGTATGAGTTATTATAATGAGGAATATTGTGACGTGTTCATTCCCTCAAGAAACTCGAGACTACAATGAAGGCGTTTCAAGGAGTTCAGAAACACTGACACTCATATACAGAAGAACTGGAGCTTTGCAGAGCTTTTTCATTCTCAAACAGGAACATTACACACTAAAGAAAGATGAACATGGAAAAAAGCACAATAGGTCATCTTTAAATTAACAAATGCAAAATGGTGATTACATTTTTTTTTAAATTCTCTCTCTTTCTCTCTCTCAGTTCAAAATGTCAAACTTGAAATGACAATGTCTATTTGTGGAAAGTAATAATGAACAAATTGCGGTTGCTTCACCCGGCAGACAGAAAGACCGAGGGGTGACAGATAGAGACGGAGAAGACGAAAGAGATTTGGGGTGTATGTGTTTCAGTGAGTTTTGTTTAAAGTGTCGTGTGGCAGAATATCTGTCTTGCCCTTGGCCAATAAACAATCCCTGAGTGCACTGAGAGTCTCCACACTAAAGCCATTCTCCACACACACTTCAAACCTCACTACACACTCACTTACTAATCATATTTGAGCTGGTTTGACTTCATAAAGACTCAAAGTATACAGTGTAAGCATATTCCCAGGTCAGATTTAGGCTAAATTGAGACTTCTCAGTGTGATTTACTGACTTAAAAGACAAAGACAGTCAGCAGAGCATTAACTCTATACTTCTTCAACATGCATTAATGCTTTCTGCCGCCTGACAATGAGGCGCGATGTAAATGAATAAGAATAAGGTGTGTTTTCTGCTCGCCGGCGCCTGATGTTTGACACTTTTACAGCTGTCTGAGAGAAGTTCACTTTCTAGACGGTGAAGGTTTGTGTTACTTCTGCAGTGTAATAATGAGTATATAAATCAGACAGTGCTTACATGCATTACATAACGCTCAGTAAGTTCATATTTCTTGCAGTTTTACCAGCTTCATTACACATATTTCTTCAACGATGATTCCAAGTTTTTAACAGCAATAATATATCTTGAATTATTTACCAGACATTTAACAGAAACATATGGCCGAAAAGTCTATTAAAATGACTAAAACTAAAATTGAAGTGAAAATATTCAAATAAAATGAAAATATTAACGGTATATCATGCTAAATAATGCAAACTCCATCTAAACTCACAACCAGCCAGACACAGCAACACAGGCTCAACCAATGGTGTGAGTTGGGGGCGTGGCCATTTGTTTTTCCGACCAATGGAAGATGGGGTGTGTTCTGCAAGTTGGTTTGGTGAAATTACAAAGTAATTTAGTATATCAATAATAATGCATACTTATTCTAGCTTCATGCATGTTAAAATGAAGCTCGATTTTAATTCGAGTTAAAACCGCCCTTGCCGATTGATACAGTAACAATTACATTTATAATTTTAAATGACAATAAAATCAAAGAAATTCAAACGTTCTGCAACTGAAGAAAAGCTCCTATTATATAGACCATTTTGCAAGATGTAAACAACACTGGTCCAGAAACCCTTTCTGTTTCAGTTTGTAACTGGTTTCTTTATTTTACATGTAAAGAAAACATCTTAAAGATGTTTGTTTAACTTTTTGATTCAGTTTTATATGTTCTGTTGGTTGTATTTTATCCCAACGTTTATGTAGTGTTAAAAAACTGAAACAGGAAGTGTTTCTGGACCAGTGTTGTTTACATCTTGCAAAATGGTCTATACTTTTATGTCTTTTACTGAATTTTGCATTGAGCAATAAAGCAAGTTTTTTACTGCTTTATTTTATTATATTTTGTTTGCCATTAAGCAAATCTACAATACATTTCTTAATGAAATAATGCAAATTTGTCTAAGAAGGTGTGGCAAAAAGTTCATTTTGGGTCCTGCTTTAAGATTTGACATGAAAATGTGCCGTTCTCCATTCAACCATTCTCCACTTTGCATGAATTAGAATCTTGAGAAAGTCGTAAGTGACACTGCGACGCTTTACACAAATGAAAATGAGCAGATTTGAATGAGTTCACTTCGAAAGCAAGAGTCCTGAGATTTATCGGCCATATAATAATGTTCAATGGAAAAGGGCAGAAATGCATTTCACCATGAAGTCTATAGGAGGTTTACAATTTAGGTGATTAAAGATTATGTTTTTGAAACCTTGATTGTAATAATAATAAGTAAACAGTCACAGAGTGACACGTGTCAAAAGTCATGTTGTTCACTTTCACATGTAGAAATGACATATAAAATAAGTATCAATATCAACAGTTTGAAATAGATTTACATTTTTTTATTTTAAAGGCTACATTTATTTGATCAAAAATTATGACAGTTTTCTTACAGTTTTTGCTGCGTTATATTTTTTTAGAAACCATGATAAAAGTTTGGGGCAAGTAAGATACAAAAAGAAAGACATTAATGCTTGTATTCAACAAGGATTCAATAACTGATGCATAAAAACATTTATAAAACAAAAGATTTTTGTATATTAAATAAATGCTGTTCTTTTCAACTCTCTTTTCATCAAAGAATCCTTCAAAAATGTATCATGGTTTCAACAAAAATTTAAGCATTCATACACTGATAATAATAAGAACTGAGTACCAATAATAATTAGTAATAGCTGAGCAGCCAATCAGAATGAGTTCTGAAGGATCATGTGACACTGAAGACTGGAGTAATGATTGATCACAGGAATAAATTACACTTTACTATATAATCACAGAGAAAACTGCTATTTTAAATTGCACGAATATTTCACAATATTACTGTTTTTACTGTATTTTTTAATCAAATAAACAGCCTTTGTTTAGTCTTAATTATTCCAAACATACACTATTAAATCTGCTTTTTTATTTCCAAAATATCGTTTTTTGAAGCATTATCTGTTAATGACACTATTGTGTTTTATATTACCGTACTGTCATTCCCCAAAGAACAAAGTCTTTCTAATAAAATATGGGTAACACTGTACAATAAGGTTCACTAGTTAACTAACATTAATTAGCATGAACTAATAATGAACTGCACATATACAGGATTTATTAATATTTAATAATATTATTAAAATCTTGTTAACATTAGTTAAAGCACAGTGAACTAACATGAACAAACAATGAACAGCTGTATTTTTATTAACTGACACTAACAAAGATTAATAAATACTGTAACAAATGCATTAGTTAATACATTAACTAATGAACCTTAAGTGTTCCCAAAATATGTTTATAAAGAATTGAATTGTATTGTACAGGTCACACCTAAAAGTACTTGACTTTTTGTACACAAAACACACACGTACGTGACAGCACAATGCAAATGTTTTGTTTTACATATTGTAAAGCGCATGGTCACACAATAGACTCATGTTTGACATGTAAAGAAACTCAATGCTCACGAGTTGCAGCTAAAAGCGAGTGTGTGTATACGTGAGGCTTATCTTGACCTTTCCGTCGGGTCTGTCTCGAGGGCCAGTCAGTGTAATAATGAATCTACCGGGAGACAGATTCAGTTCACACACTCTGCACAGGTGTGTATCGATGAACCGCTGTTACAATTATAAATGACATGCATGACAGAACACAACAGCCATTTCTCCGTGAGATAGTGACTTTGGAAATGAGTTTGATGAGGGAGGCAGAGCTGTTGAGGAAAGTTTATTCGTTCACTGCAGGTTCTGCTTTGCATGCTTTTGCATAGACCAGAGACAGTGTCCGTGCGGCCAGGAACTGCTGTGTGAAACGGTGTAGCTAAACACACACACACACACACACACATCTCTTTCTATAAATCTAGACAGGCACAGACCCCACCAAAACACCAAACCATGTGTCATAAGCAAACAAATGCTGCTTGAGCCACTTTTGCTCTGTGATTGACTTTAAATGTCGGTGTCGCAGTCATTTTGGTTATCCATGTCCTTGTGAAAACTTCAGCATACTTAAGTGCACACTGAACCTAATGTTTTCTGAGACTTAATTGCATGTTATTTCACTTGTAATCAAATGTATTATATTTTAAATTCATATTAAATCCAATTAGTTGAACTCAAGAGTGTTTTTGACCCCATCTGTATATGTCATTTCATAATTACTACTATTGTCTTTGAAATATGGTTAAAGTGTACTGCCGAATGTACTGACAAGCAACTAAACTAAAATATAGGCTATTTAATGTCATTTCTATTGAAACTTGTATGTCATGCATTTGTAATTACACATTTGTAATGATAAAGTTGCCATTTAGCTCATTTAAAATATATTAACTTTCAATGTATTATTGAATAACACTAAATTTAATATTGCATAGCACTTTCTATAAAGCACAGCAAAAGACTATGAATTAAAATGCACTTTGAAGAAACAAAAAATGGACTTTATTACAGTGCCGTTTTAAACGCGTATATGAAAGTGTACTCCCTTTAAGTACACTTAAGTGGCCTTTTATTTTCGGTAGTATTATATTATCTGAAAATACAGTTTTTTAATATAAGCCTACTTCCAAGGTTTGAAGTATACACTACTAGTGCACATTCAATACAGTTAACCCTATATTGTCATTTACAGTTAGATTTTACGTTTTGTTTGTATTTTTTACTATTTTTTAATGGTATAAACTTGAAAAGATCACTCTAAACAATGCTGGGTTGTTTTAACCCAAATTTGGGTAAAATATGGACAAACCCAAATGTTGGGTTAAAAATGTAATTTCAAATTTTAACCCAACTTCAACTTTCACTTTCAACTGTAAATTTTTTAATTGGATTTTTAACCCAACATCTGGGTTTGTCCATATTTGACCCAAATTTGGGTTGAAACAACCCAGCATTTTTTAGAGTGATTTTGGCACTTACGTGAACACACACACACACACACACACACACAAAATCATGATGCGAAAAAAATAGGCCTAATCTGCCAAGTGTCTTCCCTAAAAAGAGACCAAACTTAAATATGTGCTCCAAAACATTCAAGATTTAGGCTATGACAGTTTTAGATAGAAATACATTTTCAGGTCCATGCTCAAAAAGTGTATTAACTAGCCTACTGCACAAATATAATTTAGCACCCTAAAATCCCCTAAAATTAAAAATAAATATTAATATTAAATAAAAAACATTATCGAACAAATATAGTGTAGCCTACAATCATTTAATTGAAAAAATACAAAAAATAAATAGGCTGGGTTATTTTTGACCGCACGCGAACATTTCCAGAGGGTTATGCGCACTTCCTTCACACACACACACCTGCCGTCACGTTCACACAGGTGTCCTAACAAAGTAACTATATCTGTCTATCTATTAGTAAAGCGTCTTTTTCTAATGTTTTTCACATTGTTAACTGATATTGCACGTGTCCCTCACCCAGCAGCAGCAGCTTGAGTTCTCTCCGGGAGTCTTTCTTGTCTTTCCTCAGTTGTTTGTCGATCTCCTGGTTTATCCTCTGCCTCTCCTTCTCGTCCGCAGACATGCAGCATCCAGCCATGATTCTCTCTCTCTCTCTCTCTCTCTCTCGATGATCTTCAGCACACTATAGCTTTAGTTAGATGTAGGCTATTTCCTTCTCCTTTGCTCCACACCACAGTCTGAGAGTTCATGAATGGGCTCCTCCTTTAAAAGTCCACTGAACATAATCTCCAGCTGTGTAGCAGAACTTGTGCCTGGATGTCCAGAAGTGCAGAAGTGCTCCTCTTCTGTCTCAGTCCTGATGAAGGAATGGCAGAGTTGGGCAGACACGCACGCGACAGCTACATGAACGCGCTCTGTGGAGCGTGCGCGCGCACCGACTCCTCTCCTATACGCGTGACAGTGATGATGATGATGGACCCTTCACCTGCACCAATAGGGAAGTATATGATGCCACCGTACTTTCCAGGTAATGTCTTCAAATAGGCTACAGAATGAATAAGTAAATAAATACGTTTTTCAACGTTTTATTGTGATGTTTGGTGCATAAGAATCATATGAAAAGATTTTTGAAAATATATACAATTATCTATAGCCTATTAGCCTATATATAGTGCTGTCAAATCGATATATCGCAATTAATCCCATCTAAAATATATTTTTTTATTATTAAATTGGCTAAATATTCAAACATATTTCGAAATGTAATTCATTCCCTTGATCAAAGCTGAATTTTATATGTATACACGCACGCACGCACGCACACACACACACACACACACACACACAGCACTCAATTATATTAGGCCTTATATTATATTATCTATTATATTATAATGTTTAAAAAGACTCTTGCTCAAAGCAAAACAAAGCAAAAACATTAATGTAGGCCTAGTTAAATATTATTTTTTATATTAAAACAATTTAAAATATATGTTACACTGTACTTTATTATATATTATTATATACAAACATTATTAATAATTGTAGGCTATACCAATTAAGCACCAAATCAAAATGTTACAATGATTTCTGTATAGGATCATGTGATCAGAAATCATTTTGCGGTATCATACATAATTTCAAACCATTGTTTGGCTCAACAAAAATTGAAATTATTAAATTGCAACACAGTTCTTTGCTATGCGCCTATATACAACAATCATCTTTAGTTTGCTCACTGGGAGCTCAAGGATGACAAAGCATATTTTCAGTAAAGCCATTGACATTGAAACATCTCTGTAAAGATGCTTTGAATATACATGTGTTGTGAAAAGCGATAAACAAAAAAATAAATGACACGCACATTTAATACACCCGTGACAAACTTGTCCAAATGACAACTGACGTCAGCAATGACCTGACGCGCATGTAAAACACTCTTATCCCGAGAGCACAGATCAGCCTTTTAGTCACAATTCTCCTTCATAGTTGAATATGAATATGATACCAGTATATTGTGTTCACTTGATATCCAACAGCTAAATGCATCAATTAAATAAATATATGGTATAACATCATAAATGAACAAAGTGAATTACCGGAGTAAAGTCACATTGATTTGATAGATAATATTGTATAGATATAGATCATATTTAAAATACAGGAAAACAAAACTTAAAGAATTTTTAATAGCATAACTCTTCGACAGAATCAGGAGAATTCATGTGTTTGGTCCCAATGCTGAATTGAGTTCTTTGTATTGTTGCTTTCGTATCTAGAATGGAGTCCAATTTCATTTGATTTATTTATTATTATTTCACTCATGTATAGTTTTAATTGATTTATGACAGTAGAATCAGTTTAGTTTGCATTACTGAGAGACATAATCCAATCATAGATTTTATGGTGAAACCTAATTTCTATTCTAGATTATATTTAATTGTAAACTGACCCAACTCTCATCCTATATATTGTAATGTGAGTGTACTGTAAATGACACAGACCCAGGATCAGAGAGGGAAGAGTTGTCTCTGATTCTGAGATTATTATAATATTTCAAATTAAAAAACAACAACTCCTATTTGCTTGGAAACACTAAAAGGTCAAACAATGCTGGACACAATTAAGAGAGGTTAAAGATCTGGATTTAAGCAAAACGTTGTCCTTTTTTTGCTGGCTGTATTCAAAATAAGCGAGGAGAACATTTGCAACTACTTTCCAAGTAAAAGAGTCAGGAATACGACATCTTATTTCCATGCTTTTAAAGCAACACATTCTCACTAAGATCATCAGCGGCCAATTTTCCACTCCACAAACTGACACACACACATCTAAACAGCAAACACACACATTCTCCCCTCCTTCTCTCCGCTTTCAGGAGCAGAACCCAGCGAGCAATATCCATCATTTCCCCGTCCAGTTTAACTAAAGACCCGATAGTCCGGCTATGAGGAACACACTTCTAGACAAAATCACCTTCAATTTGATTACGTAATTTTGCCAAAATAACTTGCGAGATTTATGATATGCCATCATGTAAGCAAAGTCAACTGTGATTAAGGTGTTTTTGTTTCATTTCTTCACTCATTTCATTTCTTTGTTATATAATTGATGACTAGTCTGTTCTTGGGCGATGGTTTAGACGTCTATTACATTTTCACTCACAGCCCACTCAAAAAAATTACTCTTTAAACTAACTTAATAAAATTATGGACAGTGGTTCCACACAATCATATTATTTTGAATATATGTAAGCTCTTTGTGTTGTGACAACACAACTGAAAGAGAGAGAATCTATGTGAAATAGTAATGTCCAAACAAATCAATGGAATTGCTTCCCTGTAACTTAAATCGGTTAAGTTTAGTGAACATGCTTTAGTTCTTTTTTAAAACTGCACTGATAAGTAAAAATATGTAGGATTTCTAGACTATAGCTAGCTATTAGCTAATAATAGCACTTATTAACATTGAAACGCTAAGATTTATAGGCATTTTCAGCAAGACTAAGACTTTGTGTGAATCAGTCCATATCCTAACCAAATGCTCCACTCTTCTCCACAATGGTAACCCACTAATTTAAATGGTTCTAATTGCAATGTAATTGAACATTAAACACAATTACACACTATCAAGTCTTCCCCTTTCCTAATTTTCTGGAAAAAACCCCCATAAAATATCACTTAATTTCAACATTTATTCTCTCTTAATTCAGCTATATGCAAAGCATGCTGGGAACTAACAAGCACCGCCCAGTTTCAGTTAATGCAACACAAATCATTCATGTAATCCAACACAAACGGATTAAGTAAACTTTAATTTTACATATTTAAGCAGATTGAACACAATCAAATTAAGTTTGGACAAAATGTATAGCAATTGTGTTGCTTAAGCTAATTTGAAGCAATTTGAACAATATTTTTTTTCATTGCAATATATTTAAAGCATTCCAGAAAAGACTTTCCGAAATACTAACAGAAATGAAAAACTTTGCCTTTAGATTAACTTTATATTTTCTCCGAGGCCATGCATCTTGCCACCTTCTTCACAAGCCATCTTCATCCAATACGTTGGAAATCGTCACATCCGGATTTTTTTGAGTCGCGAAATTAAACCCTTTACATTAGTTTAACGATTGATAGTGGAAAATTATACAGGTTAAGTTAATTAAACGCAATACAATAGTGTTTTGGTGGTAAAATAAATATATGTGTGTTACTTGAACAAAAAATATTTGGGTAAAAAGAACAGTGCCACAAAACAGGTTTCCGCCTAGACGTCTGGGCTGGGTTTGGATGGCTATTAGACGTCTTTAAAACGCAAAATTGCTTGCTGGGAAGTCTCCAAACTCATCCTTTCCAATCACCCCAGCACTACCCGTCCGCTTGATCCGATCCCCACTCTTCTCCTTCAAGCTTCTTCCTCAGATGTACCCGCACTCACTCCTATGATAAACACCTCTCTTCACACTGATACCTTTCCCACAGCATTTAAGGCTTGGGTAAACAATTGCTTAAAGTCCCCTTGTGGAGAAAATTCAGCTTTTAATGTTGTTTATATGTGGTGTTTTTAATATGCTTTAAGTCAAACCATGTGTAAATTCATAAGTCGACAGCATTGCTGAGTATTTTTTGCTTAAAACTGCAGTGAACCAAAGACACAGTCTCAAAAACACGGTTTGAAATCGCTGGGGTTTCTGACGTCACAAACGACCTTGTAACCAATCAGATCAATGTGCCGACGGGCTTTAGCATATCATTAACAGTGAGCAGGGGAGTCTCGAGAGATGCCAGGTTATCCTGGGATATTTTTCTGTTTATATGATAAAAGTAGATTTAGCAATATAGCAGGTGTATATTACGATGTTGATGAATTATATGCCTTTCTTCACTGACGTTCTGAGTTGTTCAAAGGGTTTCTGGTGATTGTTAGAAGGCAGACTGAGATGTGAACGGGAACATAGTTTGTGTAACATTAGCAACAGTTAGTTGGCCGAGTGAATCTGTGAGCTGGTGTGAGTGAGTGGAGGCGGGGCTAATTTGCATATTCATAGATCCACGTATGCTAAATGAGGCAAGGGTGTAGTTACATTCAAGCTGTTTTAAGGCATGAATATTTTTTTTTTCAAAGGAAAAAAACTTTAAATACGTCATTTTGGTGATCAAATATGAGTTTTAAGGGATACAATTATTTTGTTGGGACTTTATGAAACCTACTCTAAATCCAGCACTTCTAGAAAATTACAAACTATGGTATCCCTTCTTCCATTCATTGCTAAAACGCTTCAACGAATCATGTTCAACCAAGTCTCTACCTTTCTTACACAGAACAACCTCCTAGACAACAACCAGTCTGGTTTCAAAAGTGGACTCTCAACTGAGACGGCCCTGCTCTCGGTCGCTGAAGATCTGAGACTGGCAAGAAATCCTCAGTACTCGTCTTGTAATGCTCTTTTGGCAGGCCTTCCCGCATGTACTGTCAAACCTCTGCAACTGATCCAGCAAGAGTGTCTTTACGAGCCGAAGAGACACACATCACACCTCTCCTCATAAACTTGCACTGGTTGCCAATTGCCGCTCGCATCAAATTCAAGGCACTGATGTTTTCCTACAGAACAACCACTGGCTCTGCTCCCCGATACCTAAACTCACTACATCAGACTTATAAGCCCTCCAGAAGCTTGTGTTCTGCAAGTGAACGGCGTCTTTTGGTGTCATCTTCAGCCATAAGCAGCCATATCACCCTGTAGCCCAAGACTGGTTGCCCACTGAAGCTAAGCAGGGCTGAGCCTGGTCAGTACCTGGATGGGAGACCTTCTGAGAAAACCAGGTTGCTGCTGGAAGAGGTGTTAGTGAGGCCAGCAGGGGGCGCTCACCCTGTGGTCTGTGTGGGTCCTAACGCCCC